AAAAAAAATCTATTCAATGACTGCAGTAAGATATATAGCCCCAGCTAGGTGCTACTTTATAAGATGCGTAAAGTTAGACTTGTGTTCATGGAAATGTATATATCACCTGTGTTTGCTATGAAAATATTTAGATTAATTAAGGTCTTTAGTAATTCAATAAAATGTGGGAGGAAAACAGTATAGAAAGCAAACATAGATACCAGAGACAGTGTGGGAGGAGAGTGGGAGATCGCAGAGGGTAAGAAATAGGGAATCAAGGATTGAGGGGGGAATAAATCAAAACATACAGAAAACAAGAAATAAAAAATTATTTGCTGACAATAACATGTTTGTTGATGTGCTTGATTGAGACAATATACAGTGTACTCTGGATGGAAAATCTCATTTTGTATGCTGTAATGATGTACGGTGAATGAATGCAAATAAATAAATTGAAATTAAAAAAAAGAACAGATTTACCAGAAGGAGAAAATAGGTTGACCGACAACAACATGTTAGTCCTCAAAACAGCAACTTCCTCTAGTTTACATAAAATTTATGCTGAGAAAGGAAGGAAGGAAGAGAAGAAGGGAAGAGAGGGAGGGAGGAACAAAGGAAGGGAAAAAGGAGGACTCAGGGAGGGAGGGGAAGGGAAGAAAGGTGGGAGAAAGAACTTTTCAAGAACACAAACAGTGCCAAATATTAAGAGCACTTGAAAAGATATCTTGATATTTTCATCAGAATTCTAAGAATGCTTTCCATAGCACCTGCCACCCAACTATTGTTATTCTCTATTTTGTGCTCAAAATAAACACACAAACTAAAATACAACCTATCTACAAGAAAATATGAGCCCAAACAGCAAACACTTTAATGGACAACTCTTACCTGGGCACAAAAGATTGAGTACAAGGTTTGATTTAAAGGGGGCTAGACACCAGTGACTCAATACAGACAACAAATGTTGCTCATTTCTCTAAGGATGTGTCAGTTGCTTTGATAAGTGACTTGCTTCATGATCCTCCTTCAGCCTTCATTCATTTTCCCCTGGAAAATATGAAACATCACATGGTACATGTGGTGCTGAGAAAAAGGCAAGTAATTTACACAATCAAAGAGAAAAAGATGATTTCATACCACTCTAATTTTGGCATATAGCTCTGCCATGAGAACAATTGGTCTCTGAGCCTCTTCCCCTTGATTCTCAGAGCAGAATAAGACAATGAGCAGCAGTGACTTTGAGCAACTTGCCCTCTTTAATTAATATCATCATCATACTCAGAGTATCTTTTGCAAAAAGTTTAATTATGAGGAGTTAGTACAGTCCTTGGTACACAGTAAATTTACTCCAAACTGACAGGTATTACGGAGTTGAACTATTAAACATGCTTCAATCAATTGTATTCTATAGAATAAATACTTTTGAGCAAGGAGGGAGTCAGTACAGGGTCAGGGATGTTCCAAACCCCTCATATTTAAGAAACTCACAGCCTACAGCAGAGATTTTCTATCTAAATCTCTTTATAAAAAATATTGACTGAGCAGCAACCCTAGTGGGAGATCAAGTGAAGCAAGTCGGGTAGGGGTGGGAAGGCAGGATCTTGTTCAAGGCACACATAGAATGAGTGGTTGAGGGACCAGCAGTTGGTGTAATGGCTATGTCGCTGAACTCCCATGTAGTCAACCATGGTTCGAGTCCTGAACCCAGTGGCTTAAACTCACGCTGGGCACTCAACGCTGGGCACGTCTGAGTGTGTGCCCAAGATCCCAAGAGGAGAATGGAAGAGAAGGAACTGTGGTGTGACCATCCCCCCTGGGGGGTGATTTCTCGCTTTCTATCTCTCTGTCTCCATCTGGATTCCTGGGGAGCACACGCACCCTATAGCTAAAAAAAAAAAAAGAAGAAGAATGAGTGGTTGAAAAGATAAATGGGATTCCATTGCTTTACACTAAATGGTGAGTATGAAGTAGTGAGGAATAAAGACAGTGTCCCTGATCTCATGGAGGAGATCTGATTTTTAAACAATCAGCCCAAATGAAAATAAAATAATAAACAATGTCATACTTCATGAAAGCAAAGTATAGGATGCTAAGTTACACATTGCAGTGGGAGGGAGTGTCAAATAGACGTTACCCAGGTCGGGACCAGCAGTTTGCATAAAGGCTATGTCACTGGACTCTCATGTAGTCGACCATGGTTTGAGTCCCAGACCCGGTGGCTTAAATCACTCTGGGCACGTGTGCATGTGTGCCCAAGATCCCCAGAGGAGAATGGAGGAGAAGGGATTGTGGCATGGCCAGTCCCCTTTGGGGGCAATTTCTCACTTTCTGTCTCTCTGTCTCTCTCTCTCTTTCTGGTGAGCACAAGCACCCTATAGCAAAAACTGCTACACACACACACACACACACACACACACACACACACACACACAAAAGTTATCCAGGCAGAGTCAGTAAGAGATATTTCAGGTGGAGAAAGTAACATGTGCAAAGGTCTTGAGGCAAGACAGAGCTTGTGCCCAAGGAGCTGAATAAAAGTCAGAGGGTCTTGGGGAAGCAGGTAGCATGGTAGTTAAGGTGCTGAACTCTCACATGGCCAACTGCAGTTCAAGTCCCACACCTGATGGCTTGCTTTCTCTCTCTATCTCTATCTCACAGTCTGGTGAGTGCACATGCCCTATAGCAAATTTAATAATGATAATAATAATATTAAATAAATAATTTTAAAAAAAGAAAGTCAGAGGCTCCATTAGCTAAATAGAGGGACAGAGTGTACAAGACAAGGCGAGAGAGCGAGTAGACACATGCACTATTATTATACCTAGTGAAGGAAGAAGGCAGTTTCACCTCCCACATTTTTTTATTACTTCATACAAATGGAAGTAAACTGAAATTCTTTTAGCAAATCAAGCGAAGAAACACACTGTTTACTTACATAGGTTAGCAGCTTAAAAATATCTTGGCTCATGCAGTGGGTATTTCTTTGGAGGGTAACTTGATCTTTCAAAGGTATTATTTACCTCAGAGGTAGAATCTTCCTATAACAAAAACAAATCCAGCAATTGCTTTACCCATAATGTAACAGAGATCGATGATACCCAGATGTGTAAGAGTACTGTGCACTCCATGTATGCCATGTACGCAGGGTTCACAATACATGTGTGAATGTAGATTCTTTCTTTCTTTTTTTTTTTTAAGAGATTTTTGCTATCGGGCATGTGCTCTTGACAGAGAAAGACAGAAAGTGAAAAATCACCCACCAGGGGGATGACCATACCACAGTCCCTTCTCTTCCATTCCATTCTTGGGATTTGGGGCACACACACCTATGTGCCCAGCGTGAGTTTTAAGCCACTGGGCCCAGGACTCAAACCACAGTCAACTACCTGGGAGTCCAGCAACACAACCATTATGCCATTTGCTGGTCCCTTTTTCTTTCTTGTTATATTATAAAGGAATCCCCTTACTTGAATAGGTTGAGAATTAAAGTAAAACCAATGACTTTGAAGAAAGAATCAGGGTAGGGGAATCAATATTCGCATATTAATACAAGTGTCATCCTATAAATCTATTGCGCATGTCCTAGTATTCAATAAGATGGCCAGTTCAACTACATGGCATGGTGTAGTCCAGCCACTGGGTTAGATTTGACCTTTCAGTTGAATCCTTTTGAAATAGCAAAAAATCACTTAGCAGCTGTGTGTATGTGGTAGACACAGAGTATTGTGTGTAGCTACCATGGGTTCAGAAATACTTCTCACACTCCTGAGGAAGTCAAATAGCTTAAACCACTTCACTACATTTTTTTTAAACTTTCTTCCATCTTGTGGCCTTACAATGACCACACCGACAAATGTATTCCCTGGATTGGGATTCCTGTGTGGAGGGGAATGTACATGCTGCCAGCTAGATTGTCTTCTTCAGACCCCTACAAGGACCCCACGTCAAGACCTGCACTTGAGGAACACTGTGTTCCAAATTAGCTGCTATTCATCTCTCAGATGCTCCACTGTACTTCTCAGGGGACCTGCCCTGACTCCCACCCAAGTCAAATACCCCCATCATGTATCTAAGGACACCATGTACTTTCCTTGGTAAGCAACACAATTTTAAATGTATTTCTGTGGTTACTTGATTAATATCTGTCTCTCCTACTAAACTGTACATCCTAGTTCCCATATTTTTTGTTTCAGCAAAGATCTATTTTTATCAGAAACCCTAACCTTGTTTGGATGCTGCTGAGCTCTGTGGGATGTCAGAAGACCACACACCCTTTCATGGATCTTCTTCCACGTAGCCTGAGAACTAGGATGGAACCTGCTCAATAGATTAAAGAGAGTGGAGTATTAAGCAGTCACAAAAAGGACAGTTAGTTAAAATACATAGAAACACAGGTTGAAAATTAAAACTTAAGAAAACAGCAAAAGGGGCCAGCAGGTAGTATGGTGGTTAAGGTGCTAGACTCCCATATGGCCAACTGTGATTCAAGTCCCAGACCTGGCAGCTTGCTTTCTCTCTCTCTTTCTCTCTCTCTCGTCACCCAAATTAAAAATGAACAATAATTAATTAATTCTTTAAAAAAAAAAAGAAAACAGTAACATGTAAAATGATATGTGAAGTGTGACTTCAATGTCTTTATTAAAACTACATATAGGAAGATCACAAAGGAATAAAAATAACTAAGTTATTAAGATGGTTTGTATTTGGGTGTGTGAGACTATGAGTGATTTTTTTTTCCCAGTATACTTTACTAGGTTTTCGGATCTCTCTTCCTATATGGGAAGATCCCTAGTTCATATCCTGTGAGCTCCTTTTATATTCCAGGTGAAGGCACATAGATGCATGTGCCCATGATCCAGTCTGGCTGAGGCTGGGGGTGGATCATGGCATGAAGAGCCTACTGGGGAAATCTGTCTGTCTCTCTCTCTCTCTCTCTCTCAAGAAATAAACTTTTTAAAACATTTAATATCAGCTATTCTCTACCATTTTCTTTTATATCTCATTTACTTTAAGCCATCAAGACCCCAAACTTAATCACTTAATCACTAACTTAATCTGTTAGTATGTATAGTTCAATTCTTCAAGTATGAAACATTGTCTCCCTTCCACAGGCATTTACCAATACTATTCCATTGCCTAAAATGCTGCCACTTCTCAACCTTTGTCCATACTCTTACTAACCCTACCCACCCTTCAGAGTTGAGTAGCAGTTAAAAATGTATAAAGAATTTTAGTAACTTGCATAAAATTAAATTTGTCAATTAGTATATGAAAAACACTGGAGGGACCAGGAGTTAGCGTAATGGCTATGTCACTGGGCTCCCATGTAGTTGACCGCAGTTCAAGTCCCGCACCCAGCGGCTTAAACTCATGCCGGACATATGTGCGTGCATGCCCAAGATCCCAAGAGGAGAATGGAGGAGGAGATTGCGGCGTGGCCATTCACCCTGGGGGGTGATTTCTTGCTTTCTATCTCTCTGTCTCTCTCTGTCTTTCTGGCGAGCACATATGCCCTATAGTGAAAACCTCTCCAAAAAAGAAACATGCCGGACATATGTGCGGGCATGCCCAAGATCCCAAGAGGAGAATGGAGGAGAAGAGATTGCGGCGTGGCCATTCACCCTGGGGGGTGATTTCTTGCTTTCTATCTCTCTGTCTCTCTCTGTCTTTCTGGCGAGCACATATGCCCTATAGTGAAAACCTCTCCAAAAAAGAAAACACTGGAAATAACAGGAACATTCAGGAATCCAGTTGGTATGTCCTTGCTAATAACCCCCTGTGAGGTTGCCCCTCTGTTTGGATTCAACCCACATCCAGGCCTCCCATCACAGCTGTCTGTAACAAGAATGTCCCACTGGTTTCCAGGGAGACAACCATGAGTATGATGGTGGATGTACAGATCCATTACCTCACCAGGGAAACAGCTTGCAACAAATGAAAGCACCACCTAAAGCACTGCCCGTATTTAAGAAAAGACCATGCACATCATTTGTATACTACTCTAAGAATATTTTTTAAAAATTTTAGAATTATTTATTTATTATTATTCAATTTGACCAGAGACAGAAAGAAAGACAGAAAGGGAGAGTGAGAAAGACAGCTCCCAGGCCCAGGACTCAAACCACAGTCAGCCATATGAGAGTCCAGCTCTTTAAATACCATGCCACCTGCTAGCCCTCCTCTAAGAATTTTTAGGAGGAAGAAATAGAAATATTTTGAAGCTGTAAATAAAGCAAGTATTTTAAAATAGCCACCAGCTGGACACTATAAATGCTTTGCATAGGTCTTAAGCAATCATTACCAAAGTGGTTCTTACATTTATTACCTTTTTTGTTACATACCATCTATTCTATATTTTAAGATCTCTGAGAATGATGGGTCAACAAACAGAAGCAACTTTGTGCCTTTATTAGAGCCTTCTCCAGATGACCCACCTTTTCCTCATATGGTGGAAAAAATAAAGATGTGTATAGAAGGATGTGACATTATCCAGATGGTGGGAATGGGGAACACTCTAACCTGTTCCTCCCTCCTTTGGGACGACCACTTTTCATCCTGATGGTTACAGGGTTTTCCAGGTTTTCCATTAAAACCTTGGGCTGATTCTTGCCCCAAAATGTGTTTCCCAACTCATCTCTGCAACTCTGGCCCTTACTGAGTTCATGTTTTAAGCCAGATGAAGTTCAAAAGGTGTTCCTCTTACATTTTGGTGACATGAGCACAAAGACATGGTCCTGATGTGCTGATGTGAAGAGAACAGTGAGTGAGGTGGGGGAAAAAGCTGGTAACCCCTAGTGTTCCAGTAGCCTGCTTCTGTAATCACTCTAAAATCAAGGGACATAGATTCTTCCCCAAGGATATGAAGGGCACATCCTTCAATCAAAATAGCTGCCCTAAAAAGTATTTTATTTGGGTAATTTCTTTGTATTTAAGGTAACCAGCTGTCTTGGTTTGCCTGGTACTCACAGGCTTTCCAGCATGCAGGACTTTGGGGACTAAAACCAGGATGTTCATGGGCAAACCGGATGACCTTTTAGTAACCATGTTTTTTTTGTCACTGTTGATCACGTCCTTAGTTACAAACTCGTAGTCCAGTTAGATCCAAAGTTATTAGTTGAGTGAGTTTTGGGACACACAATTTGCTGCTTCATTACAGCTGATAAAACTCTGGTCTGCAATCAGACTCCTCTTCCTAAAGTCACTTGTGCCAACTCCTATGACTCAACTTGCAAAAGTTCCCCTCTGCCTCCAAGTAAAGCCCAAAATCCTTTGCTGGATTTCCATGGTGCCCCTCAGACCCTAGCACTCACCACCACCCCAAACTCATCCATGTACCAGAGCTGACAATGCCCTTGCCTCTTACCTCCATTAACTCTCTCATGATCTAATCTCCTCCCACTCAGGGCCCATGTGAAAATGTCACCTCCTCCACAAAATATTTTAGAAGTGCCATCTTCTTCCTTTATACCCCAATAGCATTTGTCTGCACTATTCACAAAGTTCTTTCTTATAGAGAGCCTTTTGTGTACTTTAAAAAAAAAATGTTTTAACCTCCATTAGGTTGCAAATTCTCAGAGATCAGGAGAAATGTCTTTTTTTTTTTTTTTTGGATAATGTTATTCTCCACAAAACTCAGTAAGGACTTGCTGAAACAGCAAAAGCAACTCAATGTGAACAACGATCCAAGAGAAAACAACATGTAAAAGACTCATGAGTCCCAACTTAAAAGATTTTCATTCAAAGATACATCCTTTTTTTTCCCTAGTCTTTTTAAGAAACCAACTAACAAAAAAATATTTTCAACAGGTTTATGCTTGGCTTTGAAAAGTTACACACTTATATATACCAAAAGAACAGAATTATTCTTAATTTGGCTTACTGGTCCCATCCCTCATCTACCAAAGTATCCACTACTATTTTCAAACAAATATTCTATTATTTACAGTAGAAAATCATTGCAATCCCTCTGATATATTTTAGTACTCTTTTATTCTGATGAACAGATGGCACATTTTAAGTTTTAAGGCAGATGGTAAACTTTCCTGTAGGTCTTGTGAGGTTCATCTTGTCATGGGACAAAAACTGCACAGAAAATAATAAAGCTTCATCTTTTTGAGGTTGAAGTAAAGAAACCTTGAGCAACAGAATAGCAAAGCTCCAAAGACAATAGATGTGACCTAAGATGCTTCCAGAGGCAATAGATTTGACCTAAGATGCTGTAGTTATGCTCTTGGCCTTTTCTTGAGGCCAGTGTAGTGTTTTACTTGCCACAATAGAAAACAGACTGTAAATAAAATATTTCTAAACTCAAATCCCAAAGCATGTTAGTAGACTTTTCACTAGGCATCTTAAAGCATTTTTAAAATAATACTAATATTGCTCAGCTCTTTGCAGAAAGTACGTTCTTTATGCCGACATTTCCAGTATTAAGAAGTACAGATACTAATCTTCACTCTTCACAACCAAGGAGTTTCTCTTCCTCCATCTTCTTCTGAAGGACAAGCAAAAGCTTGAGGTGTGCGCTTCAGAAGATAAACTGCAGCATGAAGACCCGCTATGTTCACCCAGACTGTATGCACCTTTCGCCATACATGTCCCATTCCAGATAATGCCTTGGTAAAGCATTTCTTGTCCTGAGTAAGTAGGACAGCTCGGCCTGTTCCAGGTCTACAGACGCAGTTCATCTCTTGTAGGCATGCTGGATAAAGGTTCCAGTTTCTCTTTTTGGA